GTAAAGACGAGGTTTCACCATGTTGGCCAGGATGGTCTCGATCTCTTGACCTTGTGATCTGCCCTCCTCGGGCTCCCAAAGTGCTGGAATCACAGGCATGAGCCACCGCACCTGGCCGACCCTTTTGAAGTCTGCTCCAATTGGGAAGGAGAGAACTCAAGTGGGAAGTAGGGTCAACAGAGTATTTTAAAGGCAAGATGGAAGCACATTTCTATACTAGTAGGAAAAAAATCTTGTAGCAAGAAAAATAGAAAATATGTAAGACAGTAGAATTACCTGTGATGTCCTTAATTGCGTCAGAAGGAATGGGGTTTAGGACTCAAGTGGAGGGCTTGGATTTTGCTAGGAATATGGAGAATTTTTTCATTGTAATAGGAAAGAAGGCTAGGTATATGTCACAGATATGGGTCAGTGAGACGTAATGGTGGTTGCTGATGGAAGTTTTCTAATCTTCTATTTTTTTCAGCAAAAAAAAATAGAAGTTTGTCAGCTGAGAGTGAGGGTGGGAGAGAAGGATGTTACAGGAGTAGGTGGAAAACAGTCACCTGGAAGACTCTGAAGAGACCAGGGGCCTGGCACAGTGGCTCACGCCTGTAATCCCAACACTTTTGGAGGCCAGGGTGGGTGGATCACCTGAGGTCAGGAGTTCAAGACCAGCCTGGCCAACATGGTGAAACCCTGTCTCTACTAAAAATACAAAAAGTAGGCCAGGTGCGGTGGCTCACACTTGTAATCCCAGCACTTTGGGAGGCCGAGGCGGGATGATCACCTGAGGTCAGGAGTTCAAGACTAGCCCGCTCAACATGGCGAAACTCTGTCTCTACTAAAAATACAAAAAATTAGCCGGGTGTGGTGGCTGGTGCCTGTAATCCCAGTTACTGAGGAGGCTGAGGCAGGAGAATTTCTTGAACCCAGGAGGTGGAGGTTGCAGTGAGCCAAGACTGCGCCACTGCACTCCAGCCTGGGTGACAAGAGAGAAACTCCATCTCAAAAAAACAAAACAACAACAAAAAGTAGCCGGGTGTGGTGGCGTGTACCTGTAATCCCAGCTACCCGGGAGGCTGTGGCAGGAGAATCACTGGAACGCGGGAGGCAGAGGCTGCAGTGGCTGAGATCAAGCCACTGCACTCCAGCCTGGGTGACAGAGCAAGACTCCATCTCAAAAAAAA